TAACTACTTTCCCCTACACACACTGAAGCATTCTTTTTCATCTATATCTCTCTCCACCCCTCATTTTATATTGCCAACTACAATTACAATAATCATTATAAAATTCTGTATTGCATTCTAGTATGCATCGAATTTTTGCCACCAGGTGTGAAATAAATATTTCAATGAGATTTTATCGATAATTTTCTCGTGCTCATGAATAATTCCTCTGCTCGTCAGCTTTTTTTTTTTTTGTTTTAAATCGAAAAATTTGGAAACTCAGCGATATTCAAAAGCCTCTTATCAGAGATCTCGCGGGGAATTAAAAGTATTGGGAAAAGTGGCGGATGTGAGCGATACGCCGTATGTAATTGAAAATGGCACACATTTGAGTTTAGTCGAGTGCGCAATTCCGTGGCATATGGTTTTCGCTCTGGAATCGTCGCATTAATCCTCTTATATGTAATCAACCCCTCCCTCCTCGAGGGGGAGGAAAGGAAGGGGACAATGTGTCATGCACACTGCAACGCCGACAGTTTTCAATAATGAATAATTTGCAGATTGATGAGACTTTTCCTTTTCCGCCCCTTATTAATTCTCACCTCCATCAATTTCCTCGAGACTCACACAAACACTGAGAAAAAATGTGCAGTAATTACCGGAATTAAACAAATTACCTATTCATCGTAATGAGCAGTATTATGGCTTTGTTCTAGTTTCATTTAATTAAAATTCAGTGAAATGGATGAAGAACAGAGTACGTAATTAACATTCAGTACCGGCCGCCGTATAAATTCTACCATTGGATATTTAATTGTATTTTTACCATCAATGAGCGCCCATTGTAAGGAAATTAGGAATTATCCAGTGTTGATTACATCGGGAATAATTAATCAGTCTGAATAATGACTGATTGATCGAAACTCAATGCTTCATGTTCTTCGCATTGAGTTTATTAATTTCTCAGTGTAAATGCCATTTTTTTATTGCTCCTTTATCAAGGTGAGTTGGTAGATGGTTGAATGGAAGATAGGAGTGAGGAAAAGTGGAGTAAGTGCACTCACGTGAGACAGGTACACTATGGTGTAGATAGGGTGAGTAAATATGTTCTGGTTTAGCCCCTCAGGTTCATCGCACACTAAGTTGAAATCCCCCTGAAAGCTGACGTTCCACTGTAGACGGATGAGTGGTCCAAAAGAAAAATCGAGAGAAAGAGGAATGAGAGGTGAAATGGAAAAGGTCAAATTGCCCATTAAAATCAGCAATTAGCTTCACCACCCCCTCATCAACTCTCAAAAAAATTGAATTCCTTCCTCGACCGTTTTCTACACTCAAATGAAGCGCTAACCACTCAATATAAATTATACTTCATTTAAAGGCTATTTAAATCGCGTTTTTTGCTCATTTCGCTTCTTCTCGTGAATTACCAAAATCGCGGTAATGCCGTCATTTGAAGAATCATCCCTGCAAAGTAATCAAATACTTATTAATTGTTGATATTTGATTAATATGGGAGTTTTAAAAAACAAAAATTTGCGCTTTTTGAAGTCGTAAATGGGGAATTTGATACGGAAGGTCAATTTTTTGGCGAATTACACGTGAATAAATGTGAAGAAAAGAGAGAATGTCCGAAAAAAAAACGGCGTGATGGGCATTTACCTGTTATACAATTAGAAAATGGTGGTAACTCAGTGGTTATATTGCAGCATTGGAGGCTGACGTGAACTATAATTTCTCAACTTGAGAGGTTGCGAACTGTGTGAAAAATATCTCGTTAACTCGAGCGTATCGTCTAGGTAAACACATATACTCGCACATATGAACAGCGTTCTACTAACATCGTATGTACGGCGAATGCCACTTTACTCTGGAAAAGGGAGAAGAAAACGTTTTATTTATTTCATTCTCTGCACGCGTTCCAAGTATTACAAGCCGAGTAAGGGAGCAAACCGAAATTAAATTTTTTATTATTCTTCATTTCATCCGGTAAAAAAGCTCAACGCGGAGGGATTCGAGTATCAGCTTTTTCCTGGCGAGTTGAACTATTCAAGACGGTAAATCAGCTGTGACATACCGCATACCGATGAAATTTTTAAATAAATCAGGCATTGAGGTGAATGATACGATCGAATGTGGGGGTTTTACTCAAAATCTTATGATCTCGATGTATTTACGACACCACAAATGTCAGGTGCGTCGAAAAGGTTTCGTCGTAAAATCTTACGTTGGAGAAAGCAACAAGCTTTCACACGGCTGTTATTTATTATCCAATTTTATGGGTTATAAGGCAAAATCTCCGGACTAAAATTGCAGCCGAGACGAGATATTCATGAGCAATTTTGATGGAATAAGTAGCAAAATTTAGTTCTGTAGTAGCTCCAGAAAAAAAAATTCATCGACATTTCGGCAACCTTCAATGTCATAAAAATAAAAATTGCGACGAAATTTTCAATTTTAAATCTTTATGTTATGGATTTGGATATATTTTCATGTGTTTTATGGTTTTAGTAGACGGAATTTTGGAATGAGAGTGGAATTTAAATCATCAGAAGTCCCAGCTTTTCATTAGGTGTGTCTTCGTCAGACTTTTCGTCAAAAGCTCGTAAATTCCACCGCCTGTCTGTCAAAAATTAGGTTACCAGATAAATTTATCCTCTCCTCGCATAAAAAATCTACATTCACTATTTTCCACTGCAATTACTCAGATTGTCCCACTATTTTTAGTTTCACCTTGATTACATGAGTCTGTGATATATTTTTCGTTGGAACATCCGAAAAAATTCTGTTATCCCCGAAAAATCTATTGTCCAAAAAATTATCTATGAAGTTAATTCACCAATTGAATGTTTTCACTTAATTCTAAAGTTTTTCTCGAGACGTGGTAAGTCTAGACTGATGGAAAGACAGTTCCAATTTCAGTCAGCAAATATTTACCCACTTGACGAACGTTACATACAAAAAAAAACCCCTACACACTCTTCCTCCACCCACTCAATGCAGTCGATTTATTTTATTTCGATTTCATTCTGAGAAACTCCCAACTCAAACCACTCGATTCTTCCATTCCACTCTCGCGTGGCCGATAACCCGTTGAGCTCAGCTTTAATTACCCATAATTAGCCAATTTAACCTTTAGATCTGTATCGCCATGTGCTTTCACGGATTGCGTGTATGAAAACGACTTGTTTCACTCATTGTTACCCTGACTAATCTCAGAGATGAGAATTTTTAACAATGCCAGATGATCGTCAAGTATCGCGAATTTAACAACAGACTAAGAAAATAATATTCAATATAAACCGCAATAAATTCCTCCGAAAAGATTTTAAAAAATGCCTTCCATTGCAGAACAATTTGTTTTTGGATTGAAACTCAGTACTACACTTTACGATTATTATTTTTCTCGGTGAAGGTGTTATCATTCGATATATATCCCCAGACAGGGTCAATATTTATCCAGCAGTTGAGAGAAAAAGATGAAAAAATAAAAATAGAAAACCCACTAGACAGGGTAAACATTTGGATTCATCAAGCGGTAAAGGGCGATCAGGTTTCATTGGGATAAAATGAGTTGAAAGTGAGCTGCCGATCGAGGGATCGCAACAGCCCTAATGCTGTGAACAATCGATCTCGTCTATAGTGTGTGTCTATGACCCAGTTGTTGTTCCTGATCACCCCCTCGTCCACCTCCTGGGTTGGCAGACCCCTCAGTCATTGGCCAGACTTGATTTTTTATCAAGAAAAAAATCGGAAAACAAAACGACGACAGAGGTACTCGTTGATGACGATTTATGGGGGTGACAGATTATTATCATCTTGATGTCTCGCCCCGTCCATTGCCACTGGAATTTGCTAACGCGACGAATCCATCAAGACAATCCAGCTGGATGGAATCCACGGATGTATTTCAAGCTTGATGTACGTGATTTATGGAGGGGCCGAGTTGGAATGAATTGATGAGGGAAATATAGTTATTGATTTTCCCTGATTACATCGCACTTTAATTCAATTGATTATCACCCTTGCACTGACGGAATAACCCATGGCCTTGCAGGTTAAATGAAAATGTAATGATTATTTGGTGTTTACCCAGAAAAAAAAAATCTCATTTCCCGAAGAGTGGAGAAAACTACGGTATTACTTCCGGTCTATGAGAGATTCAATGAAGGAATTTTTATTACATTTTGGTAACTGCGGGGGAATATATTCCTGAGGTGGAAATAAAACCGGAATATGGAGGAGTTGATGGGGAAATTTTAAGATTTTATCACCGAACGGTGGGAAAAGCAATCGAGATGAATTTTAAGCTGGAGAGGAATTACGGAAAACTGTTGAATCAATTGCCTGTTGTATGGATAAAAAGTAATGAGGCCATGGGTTAGCCAGGAGTGCTATTAATTGCCGCAGCAGGATTTATACATTGATGAAATGGTTTCATAACATTCTCTAGGTTTTTCCCTCATTATTTTTGAAAAATCCGATAATTGAGAGCCTCCGATATCTCTCACGACCAGCCTGCAATAACAATTCAGGTTGGATAAACGCTCGCGATTAATTATTTCAGCCTATAGAAAATGTTTGTGGTTGTATGAATGATTGAGATTCTCCCATTCTCCCTTCCTCCCTTCTGTATCATTCTCTTATGAACAGAATTAATATATTCTGCCCATTAATAAATGACTGCCAGGAATTGTCTCTCGGAAATGGAGATGGAAACATGCGAGTGAGCGGTATATCTGTCAGCGTAAAAATAGTTGACAACTTGTGACTATTAAATTGTTGAAGCTGATGAATCAAAATGGTGAATCTTTGATAACAAGAGATGGATCATTAAACTGACTCATCTAGTTGAAAAAATCAGAGTTCAAATTTTTAATGAACGAATCATTTTAATTATCTTCTAGATATTTTCATTGTGTTAGCTGAGAGTTAATGCGATGGCTTTTCATTGAATAATAATGAATCATTAAAAGGACGTAGAAGGCCTAACAAATGATTAAAAGAAAATTTTTGATTTACAGGTTCGCTCAAGATCCTTGAGCCAACTTGACATGCTGGACGCCGATGAACATCCGCTACCAGGCGGTGGCACCCATCAACCACCCCAGCTATCTCACAATCGTCATCAGCATTCCCATCATCATCAACTGTATTCACCAAATCCCGTGGACTGCAGTCCACGTCTCCTCGTACCAAGTGCAACATCCATCACCGATTCATCCCACACATCCTCCCGAAATCGGCACAAACTCTCTCGCTCCCAGGTAATTCACTATTTATGAACTCCTAGGCCTACACACTCGAAATTCCCGTCGCATTAATCAATCGAATGATATACATCTGCACGTGTTCGGTATGCATTCCAAATATCCGGATAACTCGATTTCCACGCGACCACTAATAATATCGAATATCTCAGTGAAGATATTCCATCATCCAACGTAATTAGTTGGAATACAAAATTCAACCGGTTGATAATTATGACTCGAGTACTTCCATTCGATTCTTCAGCTGATATCTGAAAACTTCAGTAAACTTTTATTACTTTTCATCGTATTTGACATCAACTTTCGCGACCCGGGGTCCTTTCAATTTCAATAGACTTTTCACGAGGAAAATTCAAAGATAGAGAAATTGCAATAGTGTAATTAAGCTCTTACTCACTACTGTGACACAAACTTGAACCAGAAGCCGTCTTCCCTTTTCTTGAGGTTTAAAATTCAACATTACTTTAATCTCTGTGACATTAACTTCTGATTTTGCTTCAGGGTCACATTAACTCAGGGTGTACAATTGAAAAGCTAATGTTCAAGTTTAACAATTTAATTTGACTAAAGTTTGAGTGTTACAGCAAGTATGCCTGATGTTTATTTTGCTATTGAATTTTAGGTATCCAGCAGCGAATATTTCAGTGTCAGTTTCGAAGTTGGTGATGAATCCGGTTCGTTGGAGCGGGAAGAGTTCCTACCGGCTACAAAGGGACAGTATTTGGTGTAAGTATTAGCAACAAAGTTTTTATTGAATTTCAGGGGAAACTGTCGCTTTGCAGTTTCCATGGGTGCAGTCCAGGCTGAGGTTTTCACGGCAATACAGAAATATTTATATTTTACAACATTATCCCAGTTTGCATCTGGGACTAACAATTATTTTAATTCCAACAAATACTCCTTCACATGCCCAATCCACTGTGAATTCAATAGACTCTAATGTCTTTTTTACTGTGATCGATCAGCAGTTATTTGCGATCGTAAAAGGTCGCATAGACTATGAGAAAATGAGGAAAGAATATAAAATGAAAAATTACCATGCAAACATTTCAGAAATATGTCGAAAAATTTCCCCTGAAAATCTCCACCGAGACGAGAATTCACATTCTACAGAATAAAAGCGTTACGAAATTCTACGATGGAAATTACTGATTCAAGATGCACATGCACACGTCAAATCGCACGATAAATGGTTTCGCACATGAGCGGATTACACGAGTAATCGATTAATAAAACCATTTCCTGATAAAGCCCCAATAAAATCTCTCAAATACAGTATTTACTGCCCTAAATACCTCCACCGCAGATTTTCTGATAGACGTTTATCGTCATGTACGCATTGATGTTCCTCAGGGTTAAAGCGTCTACCTGATACAATATTAAATTTTGCGTTGGTGGTGTAACATAATAAGAAGCCACAATGCATACGCTCGAAGACCGCCAACCAACGAGATTTGACCCTCCAGTTTAAAAAATAGAATCAATAAAACTCCAGGATATTCTATGACAAAAGACTTTCAGAAATGATAAGCGAAATAACCGAGCCCCTCAGTATCAAGACAAATCGCTGAATCTTGGATCATCAATCGGATAATACGAATGGGTCTTAATGATCGTTGTTAATTTGACAGACAACTCATTGTTCTTACAGAATGTAGTAAATTACTCGCTGAACCGAGTGCAGCCTGCAATATTTACAGAGTCACCCACATTTGGAAGGATTCAACTTCATGTCAATACTCATCCGAATAATCCGTATCAATTCGGACTAATACACACCGCAGTTCCACCCCCGACTGTTTACCTCAATCAAATTTATATTCGATATCAATCATATCACGTTGTCCACAGAAAACTGCCAACTCGGTCTATCTGCCTACATCCGTTGAAGCAATGAGCACGAACTCAGTCTATCCAACTGTAAACACCCGATACGATACTCCGAAAATTACTCCCTTCAAATTCATTCCAATCCAACTTTTTTTATTTTTCTCCCCCTGATGTCTACTCTATCGAATACTTGTGACGCCGAATGGCTCAACCCATTACGTTCTCCCGACTGAATAATCCATTAACATCAGTGACTAATGGTGTTTCAAATCATCGCGCGCTGACAAACATACGCCAATATTTGCGATGTGGATTCCATTAATTTATGCAGCCTACAATGATCAATGACCAGTTCATTTGCTCAAGCGTTTGGATGGACGGCAACAAAATGATAACACAATAGATAACCCCGACCTTCCCTTCCCAATCAAAAAAATTAGTCGTTCCTGATCTCCCCTGTGGCTTTATAGACGACTAATTTTGTCTGCGGATTTGTTTTCTCCGTTTTTCTGGAGTAACTTAAATCTTCCACGTCTTCATGACTTTTTGGGAACAACAGAAATCTTTATTCAGACTCTGATAACATCAGAACCTGATAACTATCTTCCCTAGTTTGAAAACGATACAATAGATATTCCTCCGTCAACATGAATCGAAATAATCGACCAATGGGAAGACGACCTCAAAGTTGACAATCGAAAGAATCATTCATTGTAGACCAGTAGTAGAAGACATGCCTTACCCCCAATACATAAACATTTTCACAAACATGTGCATCCCTTCGGCCCATTCTTCTGACACTTGTCTTGCTATTCAAACCTAAAACCACCAAGGCTCTTTACACGATAACCCTTTTTGTTTTCCCATTTTTACATTTTTTTCACCCTCCGTCACTCTCTATCCTCCTATTTCAACACATCCTTTGTAGCTGAGCAGAGGTAACAAAAGACTCTTTTCTTCGATGCGTGTTCACTCATTCATCCGGGCTTCCGCCATCACTCACAATTTTTTTTCTTTTCTGATTCTTCTTTGGTTCACTCGGTTCGTCGACGTCCAAAGGCACGTCGGATCTGATTCACCACCTGTGTTGAACGTCGTGACGGTGACCAAACCACCGGATATCAGAGCGGATATAGACCCCGAGTGACATGACAGCACGTGTCACCTGATTCTTTCTCTTTTCGGTATAAAAGAGATACAACGAAAATGGGAGATGATTATTCTAAAAGTAAATGTTTATGATTACTTGAGCATTAAATTTGATGAACGAGCGCTCAGGCAATTTAGTCACGACATATGATATCCAGGGGGCTGCGGGGGTATTGATTATTACTCGCAATTACTCGTTTAATTACGCAAGCGTTTATGGACGGTGTATTATTGTGTCAGAACGGAACGCGCGCTTTACGCTAAATTTATCGTTGTCTCACCCCAGTTTCGACAATATGTATCCAGCGCCTTATTGCCCGTGAAACATGGCATGAATTTCCATGAGAGTTATGGGCTTTTTCTACATGTGGAGAGTGAAAAATTCTCTCGCATTGCGAATTTTTTTTCCCACCATTTAAGACTAGCTATTCGTCATTTCGTGCACTTGACAGCATTGACGGTTTAACGTTTTAGTTTTTATAGGGTTTTTATTTTGTAAAATTTATTTAAAAAGTGGAAAATATATAGTGGAAAATATTAAGAGATATATTAAGAAAAGCTTAGAATTTATGATACCATTCACTGGTAGGAATTCATTGAGTTTGCTCTTACTTGCAGAGAGATACTTGGAACTTCCTGTGAACGTCGTGGTCTTGATCTATCGAAAGTCGACGTCTACCTGGATGCTTTCTCAACGCCTCTGCCAATTTTAACTACCGAAACTTCGTGCTTGGCTGGAAGACATCTACGAGTAACTGGTAATTTTGAGAGAAGATTAATATGTCATGTCTTAATCGTTCAAAAGCAAAGATGATTTTCATGAGTCTCTAGGTTTTCACGATTTCACGGTAAAATTAGTCCGAATACGTGAGAATGCTGAAACTAAAGTCAAAACAGCCTCAAGAAACTTGGCTCCCTGAGATTTGGAAATATTCATCCAAAGTGGACTTATCTCCATCTACGGATTCACAGCTGAAGGCTGCTCTCAAGTTTATTGAATTATCAAGTCTTCTTTGAGTTTGAAATTCACTCAATTGACGACGTTATTACCGTTAGCGATAGTTGTGGAAACATCTTGGTGGCATGAATTCGTGGTGGAGATAAAGTTAAATTGGAGAGAAAAAAAAGGTGTGACGATGGCAACGAGATTTTTCACTCTTCGACACTGACTTTTACGTGAAACCGAAAGTAACCCCCGGCACTATTGAGAAGTGGGTGTAACACTTCGTTATTTCATGCCCCATTACATTCCCTTGACTTTGTGAAATTCTAATTGACAGATTTAATTATTCACGGGAAATTTACCAGCGGCTATTCCAACACTGTGAGCTTTAATACGTATTCCTGATCACGTTCTCCACTGAATTTCTCTTTTCGTTATTTCCACGGAGTAAACTCTACATATTTCTTGAGTCAATAGAGAGTTACGGTAACTCTATTTTGTGGATGGGATAGAGAGACGATCGATCAAGAGAGTCAGCTTGTTTCTGTACGTGATATTGGCCCGGGGAAATACACAATTGGCGTTGAGAAAGCCGATCGTTGACCGTATGCATTCGCGTAATTGACTTCACCGAGGATTGTGTCACAGACAATGGCCCTGTCGGGTATTCCCATTTATCGATTGACATTCGAAGTTCTAAATACAAACAGAGATGAGAGGGATCGAGAAGATATGTGACAGCATCAATTAACGTCAACAAAAAGAACTCCAATAACTGGGTCATACAATTGTTTTATAATTCAATTAATTTACAATTGTCTTGGAATTTGATATTCTACTAGACGAGATGTTTGTAATTCAAGAACAGCTGTTCTTGAGTGGTTATTCCAAGGATATTCATGATTTCATGAAAACTTGACAAGATTGCGGCTTGAAATGGGTATAATTAAGACGACATCGGAATTTCATCCGGAATCCTGGAAAACTCGGTTAGAAACTTTTGTCCAAATTCTCGGACCAGAATTCAGGAAGTCCTCAACGTGCAACAGCTCTGCGCTAATCGCAGAAAATCGTAAAATATCTTTCAATCTGTCTGGTTTCCTAAATTATAAAGGAATAAATTCATTGATCTGTTATCACTGACGGCTGCTATCAGGATTTTTATCCCGATTACCTGGTGAAAATCCCACTGATAAGCCTATCAACGCGCTAGGTATCTGTACAGGCTAAATCATCACGGTTGGGAATTCCCGAGCCGAGGGATACAGCTCATACCCGAGAATTTGGCTAGGCGAGCGTATTCACCCCTGAATGGAATCCAAAGCTTCCACCCTTCCGTTTTGTGTCCATCCCTTCAGTTTTCGATGACGCACCATCCCTAAATTCCTAGTCTATAGAAAGAGAGAGGCCCGAAATAAATACTAATATGTAATGGGTATAATAATACAAATAATAATATGTAAAAGGCGTTGAACCACTTTTTTTCATTATTTTCCAGATATCAGCTTGGGTTTTATTTAATAATTACAAAAATCTCGCGATTATTCAGTTCGATAGGAATGTAAAAACTGTTCTATTCAGTCAATTCAGTTCTATTCAGTTGAATGAATTCCATAATAGATAGAAAAATCTATATGGCTTGTGTTTAAATATCCTTAACGTGCCTATCAAGGGACATTTCCACGTCCACGGATCGCGTGACTGTAGGGTGATATCCCCGCTTGATGTTACCTGGTTACATTATAAAAAAAATGACAAAGAAAAAAGAACATAATGACCTAGTACAGGCGTACATTTTTCTTCCTTTTATATTAGTTTTTTTTTCTTTTTTTTAGAATCTATTTTTTATTTTCCCTAGTACTCATTTCTTGTTAAGGTGACGTTTTTTTTTTCACTTTTAATTACAGGCAAGGATGAAAAAACGGCTTCACGCACTTCAAGCCAGAAGAGCAGTCAGAATGTGTCGTTACGGAAGAGTGGAGTAAGTAATTTCACTTCATTCTATTTATCATCCTCCATGTTTTATGACATCGTTACGAGTTTTTCACATGAGAATGAACGTGTATGGAAACATAGATGCATGAAATTCACGTAGCACCTCTCAACTTATCTACCCTCTCAATATTTTTCTCTTTTCTGCCTTGAGGTCGTATCGCATACAAAAACATTCGAGAGATAAATAAAAATATCTCGTGAGACTTTATTGATTTTTAGTGTGGAATTTTAGAAAATGTTCCAAAAAGTCGTACGGTGGAATTAATTTGAGGGACAGCCAAACTATTGGTGGGGATTTTTTTTTGCTGATTATAAATATTCATTGGGTGATTTTCATTACATTAACTTTTGAATTTTGTGAAAGCAGAGTTATCGCGGTAGAAGTGGACGTTTCTTCAGTGTCTCAACGGAAGAATCGAGTATGGATTCAGAAATGGGACCATCAGTATCACTGGTTGCTGCCAAGACTCCTGCTGGGGCTGCTGGAATCAAAGCCAGCAAACAACGCTGGAGTGGTTTTTTCACAAATACCAAAGGAACAAGAATGGAATTGCTCGTTGAACAGCTCAATAGTTACACACAGCACGGTGTACCCTGTCTTCCAGAGATACAACTGCCTTACGATCACGTATCCAACGAAGAAGGTGCTCATTCATTACGCCATCAAAAATATCCATTACATTATTCATATAAATTTTCTCGACCATTCCCCTTTCTCGCTAAATCCCCCATACGCTGAGCCATTGCACGCTCATCGCACAGGAAGATTTTCTACCAGTCAAGGATAAATCGATCGACCTCTTGAACACTCCATTGCATATAATACCGTACATTCTATCGTGGCCTCGCCTTCTCTAGTTTTTTCCACCTCTCCACTTTGGCAAATACATTCTTAAAGCGAGTAGAAGTTGCCAGTGGATGATATGCGAGTACATGACCTCGGAAAACTACCCCCCCACTGGAAAAAACATACCTCTGGGGAAGAACTATTTTTCAATGAAAAATATTCTTTAAATAACAACGAGACTCACCATCAAAGTGAATTCCAAAGATATTGCCACGGATAAAATATTTCAATAGAAAAATGTCATGCTTCTTCAAAGAAGTCCTTTTTAATTTTTCATTTGATTTTTATTGGAAAATAGTGAATATTTCTTGTTTCCCCCATCGAACGAAAGGGAATGAAATTCTCTTTCGCCTTTAACAATACCACTGGCAGCCCTCAAATTGCTCTCGAATTGAGCCCAGTATTATCCCCTTTTAAGAACTGTTCTGTGTTGGAAATCATTTGAGATGACGTCACCGTCATTATAGTCCCTGTTGAGCCGGCAATTTGCATGAGAATTTATGCTGCGAGAACGGAACCAAGAGCATTATTCAGAGTGTCTTTAGAATATTCCCCCATTCTCATGCTATTGGAATAGAATTCCGATGATTTGTCAACCCTCATGAATTCAACATTTCTCCTTTGAATATCAGAATTGTACACACTCGAAGAGGATTGGCGAGACTTTGTCGACAATTGGGAGCGTTTAAGTGAAAAACAGCAGCAACAACAGACGGCACTTTGGGAGCTAGCGCAAACGGAAATTGCTTACATAAGAACTCTCAAAGTAGTAACAGACGTAAGTCATTTATTATTTAATAATCCCTGAGTAGTGTATTTTGTTCTGCTTTATCAATCGTTTTTCTGGGCCGTCTGTAGTTGTTCATGGCGTGCCTCTGCAGCCTGCAGGCGTCCAATATACTGAACGAAGTTGATAGGAAAAAGTTATTCAGCAATATACCGGACATTTATGCGGCAAATCGCTACTTCTGGACTGATCATCTACTGGGTATGGTGAATGCAGCAAGGAGTTCGGGAAGGTCACTGGATCCCGGACACCTTCTGCACGGATTTGAAACGTTTGAGCAGACATTCGCACCCTACACCAGATATTGCTCAGAGCAGAGTAAATGTCAACAATATTGCAGAGATCGGCTGAATGACAGCGAACTATTTACAGCTTATTTAGTGGTGAGTTATTCTGTCCTCAATTCAAACAGTAATAATTAGCGATGAGTTTATAGAAAACGATAGAAAATATTTAGACTCATCAATCTAAAATATGGCAAAATAATAAAAAAAAAACTATGTGAAATACTCGAATGTGACTTGAAGTGGTGCGAAACCCAAAAAGAGTGCAATCGCCTACGCCTCCTCGACATCCTGGTGAAACCCATGCAGAGGCTAACGAAGTACTCTCTGCTGCTCAAAGCGGTCCATAAGAACACCGAGGATGAGGACCAGCGGAGAGAATTAATTCTCATGGTAAATTCAATTGTTCAAGCCCATTATCTCCCAAGCCATTAATAACTCATTAAAAATAAACTCAATTATCTACGCAGATAAAATGCGTGGATAATTTTGTTGCCTCGGTTAATGCGGCATTACGGAGAACCGAGGAAACAGCTCGGCTAGTCAGTGCAGCCACTCGACTCGAGTGTTATGACGTGGTAGAGTCCAGGGACGAGGAGCTAGAAAAATTGATAAAGCACCACAGTAATCTTGATATAACAACAGCTCCAATGCCCGGTTGCCCGAAGGACGCATTAAGAACATTACTGCGTGAAGGGGATTTGAAATTGCGCGATGCAGCTACTAGCAAGGCAAGCGAAATTATCATTTAAATCCCTTGGAACATACGGGATAAGTTTATCCACTTGGAATTAAATCGTTTCCTTCTGTTTTTAGACGGAGGTGCATGTTCTGCTTCTGACAGACATGCTTCTACTTTGTAAGCCATCAACGAAAAAAGCTTCGGCAAGCAGTGGCTCAGGGGGAACTGTTGGCGCTTTAAAAGTCATCAGACAACCATATGTCGTTGATCGTATACGTATCTACGAGTTGAAGGAGTCCTCGAGCTTGGGGCTGGTGTATTTGAATGAGTATGGGGTAGCATCGGCAGCTTTGGTGCTTACTGCCAGTGAACCTAAGCTAGCTAAGGTGAGATGGATTTATTGTGCTGCTGGCAGTTATCGGAATTTTCATTGACAATTGCATGAATATTTTCAACGCTCTAACGTCACCTTGGGTTTCAGTGAATCAGGGTGGTACCTGAAATTCGATTTAAACGAAATCTTCCGACTGAACTCTGAATATCAATCCAGAAATTAAAGTTTCTCGGGAAAATTCTATATTATGTGAATTATATCATTATTATGCTAAAGGATGGTGATCGCAAATCGAAATTACAATCTTATTCAACTCGTTAATTAATGTACATTTCGAAAGCGCGCGGTCGGATTACTGACATCAATCATTACCGGGTGATTGATATTAATAATCGCTTGTGGGATACCAAACGCGAGCATGGCAAAAGACGGAAATGATTAGAAATTATCCCATCATAACTGATAGTGTATTAACGCTCGGATTAACGGGAAACTTCTCTCATGATGTTAAATAACCGAATTTAAAATTGATTCGAATAAAAAAAATGTCAATTGCAGTCGTGGATGGAGTCCTTGAGGAAGGCACAGCAGCAATTTGTGACGATGAAGCTGCGACCCGTGGGTGAAGTGCCTACCGTGGGGACTGTAAGCAGACAAGCAAGCACCTATTTGGGTGATGGTGACTATGACATTGAGGACTGTGACGTTTTACCGAGGACACCCCGTGGGAGTAGTAGAGCATCGCGAGTAAGCAGTCTCGCCCACAGTCACAGGTTCGTATTATTATTTTTTTTTTTGTCCCAGGAGAATGACAATGGAGTGCAATTTTAACTCAGTACTATCCATTTCCTGGGGAAATCGACTAGGTATTTGTGGGAATTTAACGAACACGATTGGATTCAATTGACAGTGACTTTGATGGTTTATTCAGTGGTAGTATGGAGATGGAGGGGGTATCACCCGGTGGTTCTAGCTTTCTACCGAGTTACAACGCAAGCAGAAATGTTAGTGTCGATGCTGAACCTAGAGCTTCTAGCGTATCTTCGGAGGAGGGTACGGAAGTCGGTTTGGGACATAATCATCGACCGTTGCAAATCAGGTGATTATTCTGCAACTGGTTAGCTATTGAAAGCCCATGTTATATTCTATCAATGCGTAATTAGTAGAGGATGCAATTAAGACTGAAATCAAACGCAGTAATTAATCAATTTATGTTTCATTCAGCTAATTAACATGATTCCTGTTGACTGAATAGAGTGAATCTTTCAGCGTTTGAACTCGTCTAGTGATTGAACCATTTGTCACATCCGTTATAGAAGACCTGATTAATTCTGTGAAATGAGATATTTTTTCGTACAGACTATGATATCACTTTTGTGAATTCTCAATGAGTTCATTTGAATGTAGCATGATTAGTACTTGTTCATGTCTAATTAAGTATTAGGGTGTATCTCTCTCAAAGACTCAGTGATTCAATTTATGCAAATAAAATTTAACTGTGCATCCAAATGCAATTTTACGTACTTTGAGTGCTTCACACTGCACAAGCATCTGCGAACTTAATGAACTCAGTGCAATCTAGATAGACAGGCCAGCTCAAAGGACCCTTTTTTTTTCCTTTTTTTTTTCATTACTCAAGTAATTACAGACGATCTCTACTGAGTAAATCGCCAACTCCAAACACATTGAGCGTTCAAGTGCCAGCGTATTCTTGTCTTGGGCAATCTTTACCGAATCTGACACTAGCAACATCACCGCAAACATCAACGGTCTCGCCTACGCCACCAAATTCCCTTCTGATTGTACCACAAATAACGAAGAGCAAGGATACGCTATTATCGCCAGGCCATCGAGGTGTGTTTGATTGATGAATTATTCAATTCGAAATGGTTACTTGGCCGATACGCTTCCGCGTATCTCGATTGATAAATTATCTCAGTTATTCTGAATAAATGAACAGTTTATATGAATTAAATTGTCCACATTTTCATTGTCAATGAATTTTTTCAATCTTTTTGGTAAGGAATTTCCTATCCACCTCCATCACCACCGAGAGGTGCCCTGAGACGTACATTTGCTGTACCACAATCGCGAAATCCACCACTGATAAAAACACGACACATCAATGCATCGGTAGCACAGGGGACTATTCAATCGACAATGAGTCTGGATACAGAAGCTATCGAGGAACGACGGAGACGACTGGAATTGGTGACACGCAGTCCCTCAATTACCAGCACGGTCAAAGAATCCAGAGGGTAAGAATCATTTATCCAAAGATATAAAAAAATATTGTAACAATGCAGCATTGAAATGACAGCGTACTATAGTGCAAGGGATTGCCTCAATTTTACTTGAAACATTCCTCATTTTTTATGTCACAGGAACGAGGAAAATCGATGAAACTCGTTTTCTCCTCGATCAGAGGGATTATTGAAATTGAATTGATAATGGAAAAAGGGCAACCACCCGCACCTTTGTTCCCGTCCTGACATTATGATGGGACGCGGATTTTTTTTTTGTTGAAAATGTTCTTGTATTGCGTGCAATTGCTGCACACATTTGCACGCAACTACAGGCATTTCCAGAAACATTTTACAGAAATTGATACGAAAAAGTGGAGAAAAAAAAATTTGGAGAGTATCAAATTGTTTTGTATGACATGAGTCGCAATCCTTCGAATGCTGGCACATGTTTTCACAATCGGTAAGTCTTCAATAATAAATGGAAATAATTCATGCTGATTGTTATAGTAATAGCTCGAATTTGTTTTATTTTCAGATAGGGGCCATTTGAATTTCAACATAACATTTTTCCGACCACTGTTTGATAGATTACTGTACTCTAGCGACATAATAACGTATTTTACGCCACTCGTTTTTAATTCTGTTTGTTGACGCACTCTGAAGAGAAAAAAAAATGTGTAATTGCGTCTCTACACAAAATTGAGTGTCTTGGGGGTTGGTTTTTAGATGTTTAAGCAAAATAAAAATGGGCCTACCTAGGATTAATTTTAATGACTAATAATTAACTGTATGTTAGAAAACTTCAGTAATAAGCGTTGATGAAAATAATTTACGTAAAGGTAGATAATGACGTTTCGGCTTTTAGGGACGACGGTGACTGTTAGCTATCGAATCAACTTTAAGTAGTAATAATCATAAGTTTTAAGTACAAATTCTCGTCGTTTCAATGACTGAATGAGGGAGACAACACTTGAGCGGTACATAAGACAAATTAATAGATATATCTTGAAATAGGACAGAGAGTTATCTTTTCTCATCACAATTTTTTAAAATAAGAGAAATCTTGAATTAATTTTTTTGCTCCTTGCTGCTTGCATCAAGCTCTACAGAAATCTAACGATACCAAAATATAGATTATAAGACACAATAAGGCCTAATTATGTAAATTAAGACTATGGAAAAACAATAAATGAAAATGCATTATTTATAATTAAATATCGAACGTCTATTCATCCTTCAACGTCTCTAAACACTCAACAATATGATATATGTCTCTTCTAAACATAATCCTTTGACAATATATTTATTTACATCACAGCGACGGAAATCACCGCATTCAGTGTTTTTATTTTAAAGCAATGGAAAAGATTAAATTTCATTAATTTCATACCAAAAATTATACTATGTAAAATAAATAATTGATGGAACCTTTTTGATTGAATTGCTGTCTTCACTGAAATAAAAGAAGTAAAAAAGGAAGGCCAAGCTTTTAGGCTTTTAGGGATTTTAGACGTTGCCACTTAAGCAGGAAATGCAATGGGCCCCGCGATCATTTTACACTCTGCCCAAGGCCCAGTCAATAGGCGATAGGTGTCAGTATATGTGCCCTGCAAGCAAAATCGTAGAACCCTTCGATACTGTAGGAAGGACAAATTAGACCTCATTTCAAATGCAATCAGTTATCAGTGATAGTCTAAGAACGAACAATCTCTATTCGATTCCCACAAAATAGTCTTTACCTCTTTAACCTATACAAAAAATTTTCAGGCCGTTTAATGCTGGCTCCTGGTTCTCCGATGACAATCACGGCGATTGAACCAATTGAGTCAGCAATCACTAGTCATGTCCTGACAAGTGCGCGCCTCCCCCTGCTCATCCGCTAGTGTCTCAATTATATCTAACAGCAGCTCTCGGCTTAATTGTTTGAGCCTGGGTAAACGTGCAACCTTAACAGAGAAAACTCATTAGAAACTCCCGAAATTCAATAGCAAAACAATTTTCATCAAACCAAGTACCTGACTGAAGTGATGAACAATATGATTGAGAGCATATTTTTTCATATCACAGGCTTGCATTCTGTCGGCTGCCTCCAGTATTTGAATGACATTTTCAAACGTAACATTCATCTCAAGATTTTGCTTGCAAAATGCCTGCAACCGATTGTTGGTGAATCCGTAAAAAACAGGTGCCGTAAATAGGTACAATGAGTCCTCCGGGGGCATGGAAACATCAGCGTAATAGATGTACCTCATGAGAGATGCAAATGATTCAGACGACGGAATCATCTCCCCAATTTGTATATTGACGGTATTGTTTTCCGGCATAAAAGACCTGAACATTCCCTCAAAATAGCTGCAACGAGCTGCCAAAACAGCTTTGTGCGCCGGTATCGGTACGCCATCAAGCATTAAAGTAATATCGCAAAATTCCTTGCCTACGCTCTTTAAAAATATGGCCATATCTTGTTCCAAAGTAGTGCCAGTACCAAGCTCGTAATGCTTTGAAAAACTACGTGTCTGTGGCATCTGCCTTCTCCTTATTATTTCCACCATCAATGGCTGATCAAGGATTTCAAATTCCTGACTCATTACGATCTGATTGTAGTTGCTGTCCTTGACAACGAAACTGAGACAGAATTCCTTGATGAAATACAGCTCTAGGTGTGCAGCATTGTGCAGAGCTTCCAACACGTTAGCGTGATTAATTGTGGCTTCCAGGTAATGAACGCACAGCTGCTCGAGGCGTTTCATGTTAAATTGGACAGCCAAACGATAAACGTCCATCATCAAAAGGACAATCAAATTACCAGGCTCCGGGTCATCAACGCCTTTAGTGGGATCTATCCGATCTGTGTATATGTAATTGAGGACCATTTCAAATGCCTTTGGTACGGCGTCTTCCAATTTAACTTCCAGCAGAGGCATGTCTTTCAACGGAATTTCCGTGGTACCGAAAACCTTCTCAAGATGTTTCGTTCGCTTTTCCCTAGCCTGTCTGATTTTTCCACTGAGAAATTGAGATCTTGCTGCTACCATAGCAATGTGTGCTGGTATTTTCTTTTCCATGTGATCCTTACCCACTACGAATTCAACGTCACAAAATTGCCGAGAGACCAATAACCGACCAAAATCGTCGTGCAACGTGCACTTGGGATAACATGAGAATTGGAATCTGTAAGTCTCGCCCGAGCGGACATTGTTATCAACTGTACCTCCGAATATGTACATGGCTTCTGCAATAACAGCTGCAGCATGAAAGAGCCTTCCTGTGGGAATCTCACTGTCGTTAGACGGAATAACAACATTCCAGGTTTGTGTATCTAGATCGTAGCAATGTAGATCATTAGGTAGAGTAGAGTCAGCTGCACCACCAAATACGTACAGATGACGATGGAAACTAACCATTGTGTGACCGTAACGACGAGCTGGTGGTGGTGGTGCACCTCGTAAAATATGCTCAGTGGATATTCGCGTCCAGCGTTTATCCCTGAAGTGAAATTGAAAGAGACTGTTTGTAATCTTAGCTCCACTCTGGCCGCTGAATACGAACATTGATTCTCGGGCAACTGCCACTGGAAAATTGCAACAGGTTGGGGGACAATCGCCGGACTGCACGACTTCCTCCCAAATTCGCAATTCTCCTGGTAGAAGGGAGATCGTCCACATATCATTCAACCGCGCATTACCGTCGTATCCAGCGAATATCCACAATTTATTATCGTACACAGCGGCACCGTGAGCGGAACGAGCCACTGGAGTTTTTCCAATAAATTTCCATTCGGTCCATTGACCATTTTGAAATCGATATTCGAAGAGGTCGTTCTTGTTGGTTAGGTTGGAATTTGAATGAATGTCACCGGTGTAGCCACCGAATACAAACATCGAGCTGTCGTGGACGACTGCTGAATGATGGTAACGAGGAGCTGGTGGGGTGCCTGTTGCAAAAGCACGACCCCATGATTTTTCTTTGACATCAAAGCGAAGAAGATCATTCAACATTCGCTTGCCATTGTCACCACCGAATACATAAATTGCATCTTTGTAGGCTACCACTGTGTGTTTACTTCGTCTAGAATTGACAGACAAATCCTCACTTATTACGTGACTTAAATTAAATTCTATTTATACTAATAACTTGTTTTTTGCTACGAAATGGTGATTCTACGCGCGTTTTAGGTGTTCATTTTTTTTCATTACCCCATGCCTCAACCGTTAGTTAATTAATATTTGTTAGGGTAGCCTACCAACACAATTTAGCGACTAAACGACGGAACTAGTGAATGAGTGTTTTAACCGTAATTAAACAAAAAAACAACCATAAGGAAACAATTTACCTTGCCCCAACGAATTCATCACAGGCCGGCATTTGCTGCCATCGATGTACAGTCTCGAAGGGCCCGAAATCGAGAGTCAAGCACTCAGCAGTAGTGGTATTATCCATTTTTATAATTTACCATAAAAAGCAACGACAATTGAATGTAATTTTTATACTCCTTTTTCCAGACCTAACCTAGCCCACACAATACTCCACAACTCTTATTATTCACTTGCACATTTTCGATAAATCGTCACTCCTCGATACTCTTCACGTTTACATTAAAATTAACATTTTTTTCCACAAAAAAATGACAATCCACTGCTCATATCGAAAAATCAAGTGCAGATCAAGTTCACAGACAAAATTCAACGTTTATTACCCAAAGAGGATTGACCAAAGTAGAGGCTCAGTTGTGGGGATTGGAGTGACCCCAGCGACATTGTAGTACCTCACCCCAAGGGAGAGAGGGCACCATGAAAGGGGAGCATGAAAATCGAACAGGTATTAAAAAATAACAGCGACTTACAGCTGATGCAGCAGTTTTCGTAAACGAACCGGCACTCGAGCTGACGGGATTAGAAAACAGAACGTAATTCAATGTATCTGATACTCCCAGTCCCGTTTCAGAGATCCAATCGAAGTGTTTTTGATGATCAAGACCAAAATCCACACGCTAAATTCTCTTCAATCAATTATTTTTCACTGACTATTGGATTTTACATGATTGTACTGTTTTTTTTAAGAGAGAATTATTTATTAGGTTAAGAATTTTTGCAATTATCGTATCTCGTCAAGTTGAGACTGCCCGCGGACCCCCCCACGAGCGGTCTTCTGTGCGCATGCAGGATGTTCTGTGCGCATGGGAAGTGTTCTGTGCGCATGCGCGGAGTATCGCCGGGGGACCCCCCACTCAAGCACCGGCTCCAAAGCCCTGCCATTTTGAGTGGGGAGTCAGTCGTTCCGCGACCCGCGCGCGGAACGGTCGGTCGCGCGTCGCGTAGTTAAAATCCGTTAACATCGGGGTCCTAGTGAGCGCAAAAGACAAGCGCCTCCTGTGAACATTGAAAATACAAAGTGCGGGACTCAGTGCAAGTGATTTTGTGAATTGTTTAGTGTGTGTTTAGATACGGACTGAAGTGACAGTGCGAATTAGATTCGAAGGATTACTTTTCTCATTCATCTTATTTTGAATG